TCGTGGACCTATGGGACCTAAAATCCCCAAGGTGATAGAATACGTTTACATTGTCTACACAAGTCAGACTTATGCAAATTTAGATGTAAAACCGGTACATCAGGAAGTAGTGAGAACCAGTCTGTACTTATCGTAAGGTTAGGATAGTAAGCTTGACTAGTAGTTGGCAAGGTCAGATCTGGCTATATACAGTATACAGCAGGGGGGGATTTATCAAAACTGGAGCATTCAGAATCTGGAGCAGTTGCCCATGGCAACCAATCAGCATCTCTCTTCAGTTTGCTCAGGTTAGATTTGAAAATGAGACAGAGAAGCTGATTGGTTGCAGTTTTGATAAATTCCCCCCAATATGTCTTCACCGGTCCTAGAATGCCAAAACTAACAGGTAAATGAAGTATAGATGTCGATCTTCATATCAAACTCCACTGAAACCCCAGACCACGGCTTAAAGCTAAATCCACAGCATTGGGCCCCCCTACAAAACACAAACGTGAGTTGTCAGTGTTAAATATGTACGGCCAGATGTGGCTGAATGCTAAGACCAGCGACCCAGTGTAATTCCCGGATCATACAGAACATAATAGGCAGACAGATACTATGGCGGCCATTAAGAAATGTTGCTGCATCCATTGTGTCAATTTTTCTGTTGCATTGTAGAATGTAATTTGTGGTCACTGTGTGGCCTTGCGGAAGGGACCCTGCACGCTCCTGAAATGTTGCCATTATGACCTCTCTACCTGTCCTGGTCACCAAGAATGAAAGTGACGGTACATCCAAAACCAGGACAGGAATAGAGGAGAAATCTTCCAATGGGGTCACTTGTAAGCCTGAAAATTCTTTAACCCCCCGTTCACCCCGACGGCGTTTGTAGCTCATAATGGAAAAGCTTCGCACAAGCCTGTAAGTATGCGCCTCTTTTTGGGGAGATCAGAGCGATGTCACCCTTTTTCCTATTCCTAATCGCGCTGATCTGCCCCAAAAATAAGCTTGTGTACTTTTTTCCAGTGACTGGCTTTTTTCTCAGCATGACACAATGCTGAGATGTGATGGGGGATTACAGAAATCAATAGGATTTCTTGTGCAGAGCTTTTCCGTGCTGACAAATATGGGACACAAACGCCTGTGCTGTGGATGGGCACTAAGAGGCGATTTCCTTGTAAGATATCCTCTCACTTCCTGTTGAGTCTACAAGACAGGAAATGAAGGGAAACCTGCCGAATGAGATACAGATAGCAAAAAAAGAAACCTGACAGTGGTTTTAAAGTGGAACACAGATTTTTGCAAGTGTAGAGTGGAGTGACTGAGCCCTTAGATGTACTTTGTGGGCTAGTTCACACCAAAACTGCGTGCGTCTGCACAGCTGCAGTGCAATGTGTTTTGCTGCAATTTTACCACGATTGATGTGCTTTTGTTTTTGCTTAAAATGGCATTTCAGGTGCGTTCCAGTGCGTTTGCAAGCATTTTTGATGCGATCCGATGCAGCTAAAATAGGGCAAGCAGTATTTTTTCTGACTGCTTGGGAACAGACTGCACTGGTGTGAATAGAGCACCAGAAATCCCATAGAAAAGCATTGTGATGTATTTTGGCTGCAGCAGCCAAACTAAACAGACTGCATAACAACTGCATCTGGTGTGAACTAGCCCTAAAAGTCTAGTTCCCCTTTCTGACTGTTTCACATGTAACATAACACACGGTCACATTTCTGCCACACTCACACATCAAAAACCTGAATCTCCCCATAGCTTTACAGGGATCTGAAATGGAAAGACATTGGCACCAAGGTGGAGGGACTTGCAGATCTCAATGGAGGACAATGCTGTGAGGTCACCACACTTGTTCAGCGTTATCCTCCTCCAGCCCCATAACTCAAGGTCTGTACCAGCATGGGCATTACCACCTCCTTTTTGACGTGTATATCTGGGGCGGGGAATACTCCTGCCACAACTGATTGGCCCTGGGGGAGGTTTGGGGGTTTTTAAGCGACAGTTTTTCTCTGACCTTACATAGTTACATAGTATTTGAGGTTGAATAAAGACATAAGCCCATCAATTCCAACCTATTGCGTTTATGCATTTATGAGCAGGTGTGTGCGTGTGTATGAGTCCATGTGTGATTTTTCTCTTAGCAGTACCTGTACCCCTGTATATTATGGTCTCCAAGGAACTCGTCCAGGAGTCTCTTGAATTATTCAACACTCTTAGCTGAAATCACTTCCTGCGGCAGCGAGTTCCAGACCTTAACCGCTCTAACTGTGAAGAACCCCTTGCGCCCTGTATGTTGACATTTTTTCCCACAAATTTTTGGTTGTGCCCTCTGGTCTTTGTTACGGAGCTAACCGTAAACAGTTTGTTGATAATGTTGCTGTCGCCCTTGAATAGTTTATACAGAAAAATCATGTCTCCCCTTAATCTCCTAACCTCCAACGAGAACATATTTAATTTTAACAACCTTGTTTCATAGTTCAGGTCCTCGAACCCCTTAATGAGTTTGGTTGCCCTCCTCTGGACTTTTTCCAGCTCAAGGACATCCTTTCTGAGTATCGGTGACCAAAACTGGACCGCATACTCCAGATGTGGCCGAACCAGTGATCTGTAAAGTGGCAAAATTATAGACTTGTCCCTGCAATACATTCCCTTCTTAATGCAAGACAGGACTCTGCTAGCTTTGTTTACAGCAGCCTGGCACTGCAAGCTATTCTTCATTCTGCGGTCTATAATGACCCCCAAATCCTTCTCCGTTTCCGACTTCCCTAGTGGCACACCCATAAGTGTATAGTCCATTTGACTATTTTTAACTCCAAGGTGCATTACCTTACATTTATCGACATTGAACTTCATCTGCTATACAGTTGTCCACTCACCGATTCTATCCAGGTCCTCCTGTAGTGTTATAATGTCTAAATCCGTGTCTACTAACCTCCCAATTTTCGTATCATCAGCAAACACTGAGACATGACTACTCACTACCTCCCCGATATCATTCACTCCCTCCCTGATATCATTTTGCACCAAGCCCCCTGCACATCACTAGTTGCAAATGCTCTGCTGGCTACACTGCAATCATTTAGGGCCCCTTCACACCATAGCATTGAGATAACCACACAGCATCCATATATTTAGCACATGCTATCACACAGCTCACCTAGCTTGTGGTAGATAGCAAGCAATTGAGCTGCAAGTTTGAAAATGACTTGCTAGACTATTGCTAGACTTGCCAAGCGTCACAATTTTGTTGCACAATTACAGCAAGTCTGCATTGCAAGTCTCCAGATCCACGTGCATTGCAAAAGTGCTGTACACTTGCAAAGCTCTGGCTAAGACCTGCAGGACTCTGGCTGTAGACCTTGCCAAGCAAATTTGCTACAAATCCACATAGAGTCAACTAGAAGTTATGCTGCAAGAGTTGTGCAAGTCTACGCCCTCGTTCACACCTGAACGTTTTGTAGCGCGTTCTACGCTCGAAGAACGCTCTACAAAACGCTAAAAAATATAAATTGCATTGGAGTCAATGGACTCGTTCCCACCTTGCCGTATTTCCGCCCGTCCCGAACGCGCTACAAAACGGCCCACGCCTGAAAAGGTACAGGCACTACTTTGGGCCGTTTTGTAGGGCATTTTCCATTGGAATACAGCCAAGTAGCCTTTGGAATCGCGCGACGGTCGCGCGTCTTTTTTACCGCGAATCGCGGTAAAAAAACGTGCGACGGTCGCGCGACAGACGCGCTTTTGCAATACGCCTAGGTGTGAACCCAGGCTACAACTTGACACGGAATGTGTGCAGCAAGTTAGAAAGAATTGCAATGTAACCATGCCACAAGCTTGTGGCAAGTTATCCTTGCTATCTGGGATGCCTCCAGGCAGCCGTGCGTTGCAGCACATTGCGCAATACGGTGCATTACGGCAAAAAAAGGTAATGCTTGCACTATTTTTTTACAGTGTACCGCAACACAAAGTATTGTGATACCGCACATCCAATGTGGGGCTGCCGGGAGGTGTGTTGGAGCGTCATTCACAGCTAGAGGGACAAAGTTTGCCGGCATAGCGGTATCCAAGAAGGGTTGCCACCTGTCCCAGATTCAACTGTACAGTCCGGGTTTTGAGTCCTGTATGTGCTGTGCCTGGGTTTCAGCTGGCCTGAAACAGCACATACAGGACTCAAAACCCAGACTGTCCAGGTGAATCTGGGACAGGTGGAAACCCTATATCTGTGCCCTCAAGCTGTTGTGGAACTACAAACCCCATGAGGCTCCGGAAAATTCTCACAACCACAGGCATGACTCCAAGAGACAGATACATGATGGGATTTGTAGTGTCACCACACCTGCAGGGCTAGTTCTTACCAAATGCAGACCAGATCTGCATGAGTTTCTGCACATGCAGTGCAGTGTGTTTTGCCGCGTTTTTGCCACGTTCAGGGCCGTTTTTGCTACAACAAAAAAACTTTTTTTTTTAAATTTAAAATGGTCTTTCAGTGCATTTACATGCATTTTTTATGCGTTTGCATGCATTCCAGAGCATGTAAAATAGGGCTTGCAGCAGTTTTTTTTTACATGCTCTGGAACTGAACGCTGCAGTGTGAACTAAAGGCCACAATACCATTGGAATACATTGGACACAGTTTTGATCCGGTCTGTAACTGCTCTGCTGTGCTCCTGGAACGCGCTTGCTGTGAACTAGCCCGCAGGGTCAGAGTTTGTCAACCCCCAGCCATGGTGTGAACAGACCCTTAATAAACGCACATTTTCTATTTTATTAATATGATACATTTATTTCATGTTTGAAAAAGGTGACCTACACGTTTCTATCATTGTGCAGGTGACAGAAAATCTTTTATGAAGCTCCGACTTATAACATTGATCCGTTTATTGAACATATGTTTATCCCAACGTGCCGATGTTTCTTTCTGCACTGTGCCCCCCCCACTGTGGCCCCTCACTATACAGCACGGTTCGGCTAGCCCCGGTTGCTAGGATACCGGGAGCGCAGTCAGTCAGTGACAGACGGTGTGACAGTAGACGGCGGAGTAGTCCATTCCCCAGCCCTCCCATCCATGTGCCCCTCATCAAATGATTCATCGCAACGTGTGGAAAACCCTTCCGGGTTCCCGCTCCATTTCCTGTGCTGGGAGAACAGTGCGGGCGTAGAGCGCACAGTGTACGGAGCTCAGCCTCCACCCGAGGATGAACATGACGGTCCCACGGCTAGCCCTGCTGCTGTGTGTCCTGGCCTGTGGAGCTGTGGCCAGTTCGGTGTATAGGAGGGAGCAGGACGGCTCCCTCACCACCATAGACAGCAATGGGACCAGCACCGCGGAGACCCCCGCCACACACGGCAACGACACCGCCAAGGTGACCCGCTTCAGCTCCATCAGAGAGTACATGCCCACCATCAAGAGTGTCTTCATCTTCGTGTGCGGCTTCAGCTCCCTCCTCATCATCTGCCTCATCGTCAAAATCTTCAGGTATTGCATCTTATAGAGTGGAGGCTGAGCCGTTGCTTGTACGACGCTACTGCCACTACGGGTGACATGTCAGCCCAATGCCCCCTGTCATCCTTGTTTAGATCATTCCCAGCATGCATGACACACAGCTTCTTGTTTGTTTTGGTGTTGCTGGTGACGGTAGAAGTTTGGGGTATTGTGTGTTTAGTGTTTGTGGAAGGAAAAAACTTTCCCATGAGAAGTAATGGAAGGCGTTGATGCCTTACCTGTGACCCAGGTGCCAGCCCTTTGGCACTTATTGTGTGGCCCCTGGGGGCCACTGCATTCAGTGGGCTCTGTTTTGTGTGCTTTCTAAAGCCGGTGAAGGGGAAAGATTAATAATTTTCATAAGAAATCTGGTCAGAACATTTGATCATGCCATCAGAGACGTGACATATGTTCATCGAAATCTCACTGGTGTTAGTATTCCAGTTTGGAATAAATGGAGTTTCTCCAACACAATCCACATTCACCCCATATTCACACAGTTGAGAATCCTTTTTCGTCACAGTGGTTGAAACTGATCATCGATGTGATCTTATTATCTATTAGGAAATTGAATGTCCTGATAACTACATTCCAACTGTGCATTGGTGCCCAATCAATGCCTTTTGAGTGTGGGGCCCCTGCAGTCAGATGTAGCTTACTAAAGCTGGTGAAGGGAAAGTGTTCTTTAGACATGCTGGTTTGTTTTATTTTTTTTCACACTTATGTTTTTGTTTGTTCCTCCTGATGTTTTAGAATGGATCTCACTGAGAGAAATATGAAATGTAGTAATGTTTAGAGGTGCTGGAAGGAGCACAAACATGGAAGTGTGCAGCCCCTGGCCGTCTCGCGTGGCGCGCAGCCCCTGGCCGTCTCGCGTGGCGCGCAGCCCCTGGCCGTCTCGCAGCCCCTGGCCGTCTCGCGCGGCGTGCAGCCCCTGGCCGCCCTCATATGACTCTGAGTGTGAGTGGTTTTAGACTTATATTTGTGTGCATTTCTCAGACTTGAACACTTTTTGTTGTAAACAATGGAAAGCTACTTATTGGGAGGAAGAGACGATTGTTAGTGGGCTTTTGTTTTTTTGCATGATTTGTCACCTATGTGCATTTTTCTGGCCCTTCTATTGATGTCTATGAGGCCAAAAACATGGGATTTCTGCCCAAAAAATAAGCTCTGGTGTACAACAGGCACCATTGTAAATGATGGGATTCCTCAGGCTGAGTGTTGTCATGGTTCGGGAAACACACAACCTAAGGCTCTGGTGTGAGAGGAGCTTCAACTAGAGAACCATTTTCCATGTGCACATAATTCTTTTCCTATATAAAAGTATTCTCTCTGTCATCTTCTGGTATAAAAGCCGCCGTACGGAACACTGAGGCTCCTATTTCAGACAGAAACCTTTCCTGCCATATGTTTTCTATTGACACTTTCATACAAGATGAAAGAGTGAATACGGTAAAATAACTGTCCAATGTATCCAAAGTTCCTCTGAGATGCTGAAGGAGGCTTCATCCTGGCACCAGGCGGTGAATAACATGGGCACCCCAAGAACCGTACACCGTCATTGAACTCTGCACCGCAGGGCCATGCAGTGCACTCTGTAAATATGCAACGCACCTCAACGCAGTGTCATGGTGTAAACAAGGTGTATGTAGAAGAAAAGTTTCCTATGTGTCTGCATTGATCCCTAATACAGATCATAACCGCTCAATGGACCAGGTGTGACAAGCAGTATTAAAAGTGTATCATTCAGTAGAAGGTTCTAGGATTTCATGTCAAATCTTGCCCAATGCATGGTTGTGATTTGTAACAGGGAATGTAGGAGGTTGAGGAGTGTCAGGCACAGACTATGATTTAGATTGTACATTTCAGATGGCACTGAGTGATTTGTACTGTAAGATTGTAGAGTATGTGGGGTATTGAATGCCAGAGGTTGCCCTGCTTTGTCCTCAAGTTACAATATAAATAGAAGTATGCCAGGATCTAACGGGTCCAGCTCCAGGGTTTTTAATTTGAGGACCTGGAGATTGTGTTTTTCCCCTAAGGGCCAATTCACACCACATCCAGATCATCTCCGGACCAGGCCAGATTGTTTCCGAGCCCAAAATGCATCCTAGTGTATCCCTATGCTATGTCTGGCCTCTGTTTACACCAGCGCAGTCCATTCCAGACCAGAAAAATACTGCATGTCTCATTTTGTCTGGTCTGGAATGCACTGGAACTGCCGGCAGGTTCACACCATTTTCTGGACTAGATCTGGTTCGGAAAATGGTGTGAACCTGCCCTAAATGTTCAGTAAATCTAAACTCCTATTTTAGTTGTGGTAGCCTTTGGCAGGGTCAATTAGCCTCTTAATACCTCTGCGGGACACCAGGGAGTTATCTACTTCTACATGCTACATCCATTACTCTGACATTATCACTACTGTATACTGTACATTACAAAGAATACAGCATGCAGAGGGAGACTCCTCCAGTTTATACTGGGAAATCTCACACTCCATGGGAGTTGAAAGGGAGCTTTAAACTCTTTTTTCTGCTCTAGTACCCTTTTCTAATGTACCCCTGTGACCCAAAGTCAGCATCTAGCAGTCTACTGTCTATTTGCTGATAGCGCAAAGCCGCCCTCTCCCCTGTCTGTCCCTTCAATGAGTGCTGGAAGAACAGAGAGGGGAGGGGGGAATCCCTGCGGGGTGCAGTGAATGACAGTCACCTCTCACTGCAGGGAGAAGCTGTGAGCTGAGCAATCAGTGGTTTCTAAATGCTCAGCTCTTGATCTATAGAGCCAGCAGGAGACACCTGTAGTGTCTCACGCCAGCTGTAAGTATTGGGAAGGGTACATTTTACTTTCCATTTTACTTTCCCAGTACCTCTCCTTTAAAAGGGAAAGGCTGGAAGATGTTGCTGCTTGAATCTCCAAGAGATACAGTATAAGGAGTTGGTAGATTATGAAAGTTATAGAATACAATTTAGTGACACTGAACTCTTTAGTTTAACCTTAAAAATGCATTCAAGTACCCTAAATATTAACACAAATGTAGCTTCTTTGTGTATCACTCAGCTGTAGATCCTCAAATCATCTCTGAATTGGTACTGACACTGTCCTTCCTTCTGGAGGGTGGCTACTTTTGTTCCCCATGGTCCCTGGGTGTGTTGTAAAAGTAGCCACCGCTCCAAATTCAATGCTGTGATAGACTAACGTCTAGGGGCTGCAACTAAGAATTCTTTTCATCAATTAGAATTAAACCTTCCTATTTTTGCATATATTTACTGCTAGCAAGCTGTAGACATATGCAAAAACATGACCAAAAAAGTAATTACTTACATGGGTCTCCACCGCTCTCTCTCCCATCTGAAGATCTGAAAAATTATTGAGCAGCCGTGAAGGATCATGGGGCGGGCGCATGCACAGTGGAGATCTTTGGTTGGGAGAAGAGGAGAGACGCAGGGTAAATCAATGCACGCAGCCCAGCAGCGTGCATCTCTGCAGCCTCCATGGGACAGGAAGGCACAGAAGTCGGCGCTGGATCAGAGACGGCAACAGCACTGGAGGGACTCCTGAAAACTACTGGAAAGAAGATGATCGGCTCAATTGGTGTCATTTAAGGTAAGTCTTTAAAGCACCATTGGGGGGACTTTAATGTCACTTTAATTTACAATTAAATGCACAAATAGAATTTTACAAACATAAAGTTTATGTGTGCATAATTTTTTGCAGTTGCATCGCACTGGAACGCACAGCATTGCGGTACCGTGCATTTCAGTGTGGGCGATCGGACTGCAGGTGGGAGGCGCGTTTGGGGTGCTACTGAAATGATTAGCACCTCCCACACCAGAATTTGTCGAGCCGAAACCGAAAATTACTTTTTTCCCACTTTTTTTTTTTTAGGTTTTTTTTGGTCAATTTTATAGGATGGGCGGCTTTATTTGTTTTACAAGACATAGGAGATTATAAGGGTTTCTGGAGGGGTGTAAATGACCGTACAAGAGAGATATATTTTAAAGGAATATACAAAATGTATTGCTAATACATGCTTGATTAATTGCATACATGATTCAAAACAATCTTATTAAAAATCAAAACCCTGCAGAGGATACATTGGTATATTCATTATTATCAACTCTAAAATTCATTTGGTCCGACAGTTCATTATGTTGTTCAATGTAATTCAGATGTGGTGACATTATTATAACCAGATGGTAGTTCTCAAAGCATAGCTTAACTTAATAGGCCCCAACGCGTTTCGCCATGGGCTTCATCAGGGGACCCATTGAGGATGAATCATGCCGGGTTGATCTACGGTATGAGGGAGAAGTGCCCAGGAAGCCAGTTAGGAGCGGGCGGGGAATAGACCCACCGTTGTCTCCACTGCTTACTTGGTTTGCCACACCTGGGACCCCGGGGTCCTTTGGGGAGGAACCTATCTGCGGTATCGAGTCGTCCAATCGCAGTCGCCAGGAGTATTAGTTCTCTCAGATCGATATTTGTGGTTCGTGTGATTGCTGCTTTCACTCGAGTGCAGAAACTAGCCTGTAGCGTCCCGTGGCAGTCCCCGCTAGCAGTGGAGACAACGGTGGGTCTATTCCCCGCCCGCTCCTAACTGGCTTCCTGGGCACTTCTCCCTCATACCGTAGATCAACCCGGCATGATTCATCCTCAATGGGTCCCTTGATGAAGCCCATGGCGAAACACGTCGGGGCCTATTAAGTTAAGCTATGCTTTGAGAACTACCATCTGGTTATAATAATGTCACCACATCTGAATTACATTGAACAACATAATGAACTGTCGGACCAAATGAATTTTAGAGTTGATAATAATGAATATACCAATGTATCCTCTGCAGGGTTTTGATTTTTAATAAGATTGTTTTGAATCATGTATGCAATTAATCAAGCATGTATTAGCAATACATTTTGTATATTCCTTTAAAATATCTCTCTTGGACGGTCATTTACACCCCTCCAGAAACCCTTATAATCTCCTATGTCTTGTCTAATTATGTAATTAGGGGGAGAGGTGTAAAACTAGGTACACACAGGGGGACTACCCATAATTTAGTAAATTTTATTTGTTTTACGTTTTCTACTATCTTAAAATTATTTTTTTTAACAATACTGTCAGGGGGCTTTGGTAAAAAATCAGGGGTCTGATAAAAAAATCTGGGATCTAAACAGACCCCTATTTCCCTTTTTGAAAAAAAAAAAAGAGATTGAGGACATAGAGCAACCCCAACACTCAATAAACAGAGGCTTCCTGTTCATTCATAAATCGAGGAGATGGTAAACGGATACCTTGTCCACAATCATGAATGAACAGGAAGTGATATACATGGCTTCCTGTTCATTCATTATTGGGGGAAACAGTATCTGAATACTATGTCCTCAATAATTTATAAACATCGTAGTAATAAGTACTGATCACGGCGATCTTTGAATATTACAGGGAACGATCAGCAAATATTTCACATATTTGCTGATCATCTTGCAGCTCTCCTCCCGGCTCTGCCTCCTGACAGCTTTCTCCACACTGCTGGGCGCCGGCAGGTGGATTGACTGTATCCCATCTGATCCCCACTGCCCCTGGGGCAGAGGCGGAAGAGAGCAGCGGGATCAGAAGGGGCACATAGCCAATGAAACACCGGTTCCCAGCACGGTAGAGAGAACTAGGGGACCCAGACCAACTAATCGATAATGAGAATGAAAATAGTTGTCAACTATTCTCAATTATTATCTATTAGTTGGTTGCTGCGCTACTACAATCTCATGTGTAGTTTACTGATTTGTATTGAGATTGTGGTCCATCACAGGAGTGATCTTGGAGCGGTGGCTGCTTTACAGCCTGCTCCCTGACATTTTTTTTGAGCTGAAACGCAATCAAAGCCGCCCTATCAAAATTTGTTCAGAAACCGTGCTGATCCGCAGCTGCCCTGGTGTGAACGGGGCTGAAGGAATGACAGTGTCAGCACCAATTCAGATGATTTGATGATCTACAGCCGAGTGATACAAATAAGATACATTTTTGTTAATAGTTAAAGGAGAACTATGAGGTGAGTGATTTCCACTCACCTCATAGTTCTAGCTGACCTGTGACAATGAGAGTGTCACAGGTCGGCTCAGTAGATCGGGAGGTGTGCGAACACATACCGGGTTCGCTCACCTCTCGATCCTGTCACGGCTCTCTGCCGTGACAGGGGGAGGGGCTGGATTCCCCCCTCCCCGCTCCGATCCTCCAGTGCTGACTGGCGGAACGGACAGGGGAGGGGGCGGGTACAGCTGGCTCTGCCTCTAAATAGGCAGAGCCAGCTGTCACTCACGCAGCTGGGCGGATCTCGTCATCTAAGGCCCCGTTCCCACTGCGCGATATGCAAATTGCGCGACTTGCATATTGCGCGACATGGCGAGATTTGCCGCGCGATATCGCGTTCAAGCTTGCATTGAGCAAGCTTGAATCGCGGCTAAATCCTCTCCAAAAAGGGTCCTGCTGTAGCGACACACGACCCGCGACAGCAGGACCCTTTGCCCCATTGAAATGCATTGGAGCGCGATATCGAGCGGTAATTTGCCGC